ATGTTGCAAAGCAGCTCTTTTTAACTTGTGTGGATATTATACATGGTTATGCTGAGGATATGTCCGCCCATTTCCACTGGAAAGGCCTTTTGGTTAAACTGTCAGCAAGGAATTTGCATTTGCACTGTTACATCAGCTGCTTGTTTAAGTGAAAATACATTGATGGGGTGTTTGCACTAAGTTGTGGACTTGTAAAGTATTTTGTTTGCATCAATTATATTGTCAGCATCAATTATATTGTCAGCTATATCGTTATCGCGAATTTTCAAATATATATCGTGATAAATATTTTTGGCTATATTGTCCTGTCTTATACACAAGCACAGTTTGTCCGCAGTGAAATGTTTTGAGGAAGAATAACACTCCCAATCTACAAATCATTTTTCACACATACACCTCAGCCCTGAACCTTTCTAGATCCACATCTCTCCATGTAATGGAGCATGACCCTGCCAGCAGAGGCTCCATGAGGTCCAACACCATGAATGTGAGACATTTGCGGTGAATAGGTGATGATCATGTGACCTGCCTCCCTCACCAAAAGCAGAGTGTTTCCAGTCTCTGAGGCTACTCTGGACAATGACTCTCCTGCCACTGTAAGGAGTTCATGTGGGAAAACAGCCTGAGATGAACAATCTTACTGACACTACCGCATCAAAATTACACAAACAGAATATTAAGAATGGCCTAATGAACGACTGTCTTCACACAGATCCCAGCACAGCTACTATTTTTAGACTGCTACTGCTAGAAGCTCTTCTAAGCTTGTTGATTTCATGCAACATCACCTCTGTTTTAAACTGGCCTGAACTTCATGTGAAGGGTTTGTTTCCCAGTTTGAGACAATCATCGAGCCTCAAGGACCTGAGGGAGGAAATTTAAAGGCAACACCTGAACAGTAGCGCGTGCCACAGTGGCATCGTCGTGCAGGAAGACGGACCACACCAGAACAACCATCTCAACCACTCTTCATTTGCTTCCTTTTCACTCTGTCCATTACCAGAAATGAAAGTCCTTTTAAAATGTCACTAACGTAACACACTCTGTGTGAATGAGGAAAAGACTGATCACACTGAAATATTTAATGCTTCCAAACATCAAAGCAGGCTTTCTCCAGGCTCAAATGGGCCTCTGGAGACTGACTGTATCCACGATCGGGCCGTACTGAAACCAAAACTATCTCCTAAAGGAGACACAGCATGCATTGTAGAGGCACAAGATAATACCTTCAAAGGAGTGGATCTAAAAACACACTGAAAGGAAGAGCAGCCAAATT